CCTTCCCCTGGCCCCAATAATTTCACTTCCAGATTGCCCACGTAGATGGCGACTGGATTCACACTATTATGGCAAACACACCACAGATTTGTATTGCGTGGATCTACAACTAACATGAATTCCGGCCGTTCATGTTTATTCCCCTTTGCCCTCCAACGAACACAAAATCTGCCATGTTCTATCCTAGATCTGATCTAAGCTTTTAGGTTGGGGTTGCTACCGGTAGGTGCTCGAGAAGGATGTGTAGGATTCACTAAGAGTTAGGATTCACTAAGATCAGGGCAGAAAAGAGCAATTTGGGCGGTACATATGGAGGGAAAAGAATTAGTTGCCACCTATCTTTGTTGTTAGTTGCCATCATGTTATGTTATTACTTGTCATCATATTATGTTGGTTGTTGCCAGCAGTTCAATATGATAGTTGCCATCCAAACTGTAGAAAAGAAAATGAATGTGCATGCCCTATCAACAGAAATGCACGGTTGCGATGTTTTCCTACTTGCCATGTTGTATTGGTTGTTTATGCAAGAAATGTGATAAGATTGTCATGCTTCCTTTTATGTGGAAACAGCAAAATGCAATTCGAATAGTAATGCGTTCTTGTTCATGCAGTGACTGAAAACACAGTGGGAGAAGCAGAAAAAATGAATCATAAAGACGGGACTGATCCTTGGTTTTCTCGAAGGCCGCAAGCGCCCCCTTGAGATGCAGTAGAGTACAATCAACTCATTTCCGCAGGACCGACTGCCACTACTAGAGCAGTACACGTACATAGCTACGATGCATGATCAGAAAAATGACAGTTGACATGTTTGTGGGCTTGAAAATGGCATTCTACTTATGTACTACAATGTTATTGTTCGCATGTTCTTATGACATAACCACACAGACAGAGATACTGTGGCAAGTTGCAACACATGGGCTATCGGCGACAGATATACGGGATGCCAGCTTCAAGTAGCAAATGTGGCAAATCAAGGTAACACATAAAAATAGCATACTGATGTGGTAAAAAAACTTGCAAGAATGGCAAGACTTACGAGTTTTTGAAAAAATGCGGGACCATCATGTAGCATGTGGCAACAGGCGACAACCGGATACCTGCCATCAACATCGTACGCATGTGAGTCGCATGAAGTGATCTTGCGGACAATGTATCAGAAAAAGGAAATTGGGTGACATTGATGTTTACGTGGTGTGACGAAAATTGAAAAAAAATGACATTGGCGTTTGTTGCTGATATAGATAGAAAAAAATGATGGAAAGTGCATTTGCCAAGTCTGGTCACCTATATTTGCCACATGTGGACAACTGCGTGTGTCAAATTTAATGTATGACTGACAGTGGCCACACGTGATTGCACATAGTTGGCATGTCTTAACAACTGCACTTTCCATGTTTGAACAACTATAGTTGCCATGACTAAACAACTATGATTGCCATGTGTGAACAACTCTGGTTGCCAAGTGTGAACAACTACAGTTACCATGATTGAACAATTACATATGCCATGTTATAGAAACTATGGTTGCCATGCATTGACCAACTGCACATCATCGCAGGTTGTTATGGTGAAACCATAGCAGCAAAGGTCTCATGGCAAGCTTCACCATTACAGGCCATCGGTATTGCAGATACAACACACCAAATTGAAGTGACACACCAACTTCGATTAACACATGCGGCAGAACAAGGTAAATATGTGAACCAATAAAAATCGTGCATTTGCTTTTGTGGAAAAGCATTGGGGAAAGTGGATTTGTCACGATGATGTTGGCAAACTATGATTGCCACCAAGTGAATACGTCCATTAGTCGTCTATGGTCATCCGGATTTGTCAATTATTGTCTGCGTGTATACGCCATTTGTGATTAACTGCATTTGCCTTGTGGGCTCGTATCTAGAATGCAAGTTTTGATGTTAAGATACTGGTTGCCATGACTTGACAACTGCAGCTGCCATATTTGGCCAACTGTAGCTGCCATGGCTGAAAAACTGCAGTTGCCATGCATGGCCAGATGCAGATGCTCAAGGCTTGCATGTATGAATGATATCATGCCAATCAGATGCAGTTGTTGTATTTCATTACGATGAATATGCCATTCAAGCAATACTGCTTACACACATACCTATTTTTTTGCAGGAGCTTCAACTACAATCAACAACGTTGCATGAACATCTATTGCGGGAACCTCAGAGCACACGGAAAGGGCGTTCCACGAACAAGTCACCGATGTTGCCACAAACAATGCAAAAACAGTGTCAGAAACTGGCAACCGTTGGAGCAATGACGACAAGCACGCCTGTGCACGCCAGCACAAGCAACACTCGAGCACATGAAACAGCCGCCAATACTGAAGTGAATGATGAAACTGATGACGAAACGCAAGGGGGAGAAGAAAATGGACAATCGGAAATTGTGCCACCTCAACCACCATATGCTGGGCAGAGATTTGGTTCGTTTGAAGATGCCAAGGAATACTACCAGAGATATGCATTGTTCCATGGATTTGCGGTGAACACAAAATGCCATAGGAAAATAAAAAAACTAACGAGTGCAGTAGAGGTGAGATAAGGTGCTACAAGGCACGAAAGAACAAGAAGGGTAAAGGTGTTGTGCCTGTCATGCCTGAACGAAAGAGAGGCATCATTCTCAAGACGGAATGCCCTGTACGGATGAAGCTAAACACATATGGAGCATGGTGGATGGTCACCGAATATGTCGAAGAACACAACCACGACCTCATAAAGAAGTTTGACCTAGTAAAATTTCTGAGCGCCCATAGAGGATTAAGTCCCGTCGAGAAGAAATTCATAAGGTTGCTACATGATTGTAACGTCGGTCCATCAAGAATGGTCCAAATATTGTCCCTGGTCCATAGCGGAGATGGTAGTCTGAGTAGCATGCCCTACATACCAGCAGACGTCACAAACCTAAAGGCAAAGTACCATAGAGAGAGCAGGTTGGCTGACATAGAAGACACAATCACCTACTCCGAAGAGAAAGCAAAAGCAGATCTTGATTTCTTCTATAGGATAAGATTGGACGATGAGGACCGTGTCAGAAACATGTACTGGGTGGATGGTGCTGCAAGAAGAGCCTACAAACATTTCCCTGATTGCATTTCGTTCGACGTGACATATCTCACGAATATGTACAAGATGCCCTGTGCTCCATTCATAGGAATAAATAACCACAATCAGTCCTTGCAGTTCGGTTGCGGTCTCGTTCGAAACAAAGATACAGATGGTTACACTTGACTGTTCAAAACCTTCTTGAAATGCATGGATGGACTTGCTCCGATGAACATAATAACAGACCAGGATTTTAGAATGTGTGCAGGCATAGAGGAGGTATTTCTGTTGGTAGTGCACAGGCACTGCAGGTGGCATATTATTAAGAAGGCTGAAGAGACGCTAGGACCATTCTTTGTTGACCGTCCAGAGCTACACAAGGCATTCAAGTTGTGTGTGGACCACAACTTGACGATGGAGGAGTTTGAACGGAGCTGGACAGCTATGATTGAAACATACCAAGTCCAAGACAACGAGACACTTAATAGCCTGTGGGAGAAGCGAATGTACTGGGTGCCGCCCTACTTCATGCAGTGCTTCTTTCCATTTCTGCAGACTACGAGACGCAGCGAGGGGTTCAATGTTGTTTTGAAGCGTTACGTGAGCCCTGGCAACTCATTGCTGCAGTTTGCCAAGCAATATTCAGCTTTGCAGCAGAAAATACTGGGATCTAAGCTACAACAAGAAGCAAACACCGCACCCAAGAAGCCTAAATTGCTAACATATTTACCGATGAAGAGGCAGATGAGCAAGATATACACCAACAAGATATTTAACAAGTAAGTGAACGATCTTACGGTCTTATTTGCCATGTATGACACGACACATTCAACATTGAAAAATGCTAAAAAAATATGTTTGCCATATCTGCTGGTTTGAAGCTGACATCTGTAGTGAACACATGAATGCAAAA